CAAACACTTCACAATCCTGGTTTACTTCCTTGGTGCCTGTTCTGTTTCTCTGTGACTTTTACAACATAGTATGACATTTGTTAATAATAACCACCGTTTGTTGAGGGGGTGCCTTGTTAGATCTTTTACCCAGGCCATATACAATCCTTCCAACAACCTTTCTTCATTTTACAGAAAAGAAAAGGGGGGTGGGAATAGGGGTAGTAGTACATGTCTTTAATCCCAGCACTTGGGAGGCAGAGGCAGGCGGATTTCTGAGTTCTAGGCCAGCCTGGTCTAGAGAGTAAGTTCCAGGGCAGCCAGGACTACACGAAGAAACCCTGTCTTGAAAAGCAAAACAAAAAAACAAAAACAAAGAAAAAAGTTATCACTCAACAGAAGAAAGGAAGGCTGCATTTGTGTCGCCACTAGAGGGCACTCTGCTGTATACAACGCAATGTGCAAGACCAGACATCCTATCACGGGATGCTCTAATTTTGTAAACTCTGATCTACACAGGCTGGTAACATTACTTAGATGATAACTCATACACCAAGCGCTGTGGCCTTACCTAGAACCTGCTGTGACTATACATTCAGGGGATCATTCAGGGTAGTTCATTACTCAGAGCTTGGGAACGTGTGGGGAGCCTGTATTCACGGGGTAACCCTTGATTTCCCCTTCAGGAAGAGCAAGCATGAGCGATTAGGGACAAGTTGTCCGTCAAGGACATTCAGTGAGCTTTGAAAAAGTAGGAAAGTCCTACTTTAGGAAAAAAAGAAAGGTTAGAGACTGTATTTTGGTCACTGCCCAGCCCACTGTCCCTTATGCAAGGGCTTGTGGGGGGGGGGGCGGATGAATATGTTTTTTGTTAAATTTTCCTCTTGTCTGGCCTTTTCGAAAAAAGTTTGGAATGATCAAAAGAATCTAATGAGACCCAAGGTATTCTGAGAGCAGAATCTTAAGCTAACCTCAGCAGAAAGCAGCAAGTACACTAAGAATTAGTCCCTCCTCACCATAGAGGAGCGCGGAGGGAGATATTTACAGGTGCGCTGCCCCTGTAACCCCAGGCTGGGGGCTTGAAAACGCTAAGGCTGAAAAGTCCTCACTAGCACCTTGTTAAGTGTCTGAGTAACCTGTAAAAACCCCACTGGGGAAAAAGCCCACAGCTTCCAGGAAAGCATTTTGCATATACGCACACAAAGCCTCTTTCCAAATCTCCCTTCCCACACCGATTCCTGCAGATAAAAACTACAGCAAAAATTTCCAAAAATTCTCCCCTTCCCTGAACCCTGCGACTCACTAGGTTGGTTAGGTTGCAATATTTTAAGTTATACTGACTGTAAGGATTTTCTTCCCCCTAAAGATGAGTCCTGTCGCTCAGGGAATCCTATGCTAGCAGCTATAGGATGATTGGATCTGCCCATTCCCTCTCACCCACCAGATGGCAGGCACAAACAACTACCGAGGCCCCTGCCAGCTCAGACGGTAGACTCAACATACGGTAAAAAATATTTTTTAAGGTGACAAAAAAAAAAAAAAGCCCAGAAATCTGCAGAGATCCTGGTGGCATCTTGGAGTCTGGGGGGCTTTGGGTTCAAGAAACAAGGCAGATCCGTAGGCATTGGTTGACACTCCCTGCCTGGCTGAAGTCGTTTTGTATTCAGGAAGGCACCCTCCCGGCGCTGCTGTATTTAATTCTGGTTGTGTTATAAATAGAACCTGGAGAGCGCAGAGCACGCCACACCGCCCACCACTGTGTTCCGGCCCTCTGGGGACATCGGCCAAATCTGAGCCTTTGTTTCCCTCTAGTGGCTTCCCTCAGCAAGTCTCACAGACGATCATTTGCATTTATTTATTCTGCATATAGCGTAGCAAGGCCCTCCTGGATGCACGCGGGTGGTGGACGGTTCTCCAGCTTTGTCCGAGGCTAGGACAACTCTACGGGTTTCAGCAGCAAAGAAAGCTAGCTCTTCCTTCTCGAAGTTCAGCGCAGTCCAATGCAGTTTCTCCGCTCTCCTGACGGCTGCTGTACGGACTAGAGGAGACCGGGCACTTCCGCTCTAAAAGACAGATCAGGCCGGGTGATGGTGCGCACGCCTTTAATCCCAGCACTTAAGAGGCAGAGGCAGGCGGGTTTCTGAGTTCTAGGCCAGCCTGATCTACAGAGTGAGTTCCAGGACAGCCAGGGCTACACAGAGAAACCCTGTCTCGAAACCTCCCCCACCCCCCCAACCAAAAAAAAAAGAAAAGATAAAAAAAAAGAAAAGAAAGAAGACAGATCAGGACCTCATCTCACGATGCTCCTCCCCTGTGCCTCATTTCACTCGCCAGTAAAATGGGTTTCTAAATGCTGACTGGCTGTCTGCCATGCATTCAAACTCACAAAGCAAAAAAAAAAAAAAAAAAAAAAAAAAGCAAAAGCAAAGCTATGTTAGATTACAGAAAATCTCTTTCGTACATGCAGCAAAAGGAAACTGAAAGTATTATTTCTACGTTGATCGCACCACATAAGCTGGGCATATGCACATTTGTTCGGATACGAGTGTGACACGTGAATTGCATCTCACAGCCTTGCACTTTGCACCACATTTGTTCCAATGTGGGGTACACGTGATAAGAAGTGGCAAGAAACCTGGCTTGGATCCTGTGCAAGAACAGCCAGTGCTCTTAACTGCTGAACCAACTCTCTGACCCATCTTCCTAATGTTTATTTTAACCCTGGGTGGCCCCAAACTTTTGAGTCTCTTGCCTTAGACTCCAAGTGATGGGATTACAGGCCCATGGATGCTAGACTCGACCCTTGTTTTCTTTATTTTAAAGACAGGATTTAGCTGGGGAGGCGCATGCCTTTAATCCCAGCACTTGAGAGGCAGAGGCAGGTGGATTTCTGAGTTCTAGGACAGCCTGGTCTACAAAGTGAGTGCCAGCCAGGGCTACACAGAAAAACCCTGTCTTGAAAAACAAAACAAACAAACAACAAAAAAGACAGGGTTTGACTGTCATGCTCAAGTTCAAGTGACCTTCTAGCCTCAGCTTCTGGGATAGCTGGGATTACATGTGTGTACCAGTATGACCAGCAAAGCGCTCAACAATAACAGCTATTGCCTTTCTTTAGAACCATGAAGTGCTACGGTATCCTAGACGGATAATTTCCATACAGCATTTGTAATATTTACCAAGCCCTTGGAAGATTGTCCTAAACCCTGTAATTAGATGCCCATGCGCTTCTCTAGATTTGCATAATTCTCCTGGCATGAATAATTTCCCTTTATATTACAGTGGTGTTTGTCATGTTTTCGACCTCTGAAATGCATGCCACTAGAAAGCAGAAAATCATTCTGGGGTTGGAGCAGCTCATTTGAAAAATAAGAAGGTTCATGTGGAAGGTTCCCCTGAGCTTCAGTGTCTTTGGCCCTGTAACTTCAGAAACTAGAGCTGCTGCCTGTATTGATACAGAGTTGCTGTGAGTGTAGTCCTTCCAGAAGGTTGTCCTAGTAGAAGACAGACCAAAGGACAGTTTGGCTGGGCAGTGGTGGCACACACCTTTAATCCCAGCACTCGGGAGGCAGAGGCAGGTGGATCTCTGAGTTCAGGGCCAGCCTGGTCTACAAAGTGAGTTCCAGGACAGCCAGGGCCACAGAGGGGGAAAAAAAGTCTTAAGAGATAAACAAAAAATGAAAGACAAAAAAACGGTTGTTGGGCTGGAGAGATGGCTCAGCGGTTAAGAGCACTGACTGCTCTTCTAGAGGTCCTGAGTTCAAATCCCAGCAACCACATGGTGGCTCACAACCACCCATAATGAGATTTAATGCCCTCTTCTGGTGTGTCTGAAGACAGCTACAGTGTACTCATAAATAAAATAAATAAATCTTTAAAAAAAAAAAAGGGTCGTTGACTTACATAGTTTGTTTTGTGTTGTCATTGAGGTACTTGGGACTGAGCCTAGGTCCTCTCACATGCTAAGTAAACACCCTCCCACTGAGCTAGATCCACAGGCTTCTGGTAATTTTTTTTCCATATTTAGTATTCTTGAGACAGGGTCTCAGCCGGGCGTTGGTGGCTCACACCTTTAATCCCAGCACTTGGGAGGCAGAGGCAGGCGGATTTCTGAGTTCGAGGCCAGCCTGGTCTACAGAGTCAGTTCCAGGACAGCCAGGGCTACACAGAGAAACCCTGTCTCGAAAAACCA